GTTTGAGAATTCTCACTGATGCACCGTGATATATATATAACTACTGCCTCCACAAAGACCTGAATATTCCAACCGTGGTCCTTGGTCTAGATCAGTGATTCCCAAACTTATTTCAACTACCGCCCCCTTTCCAAAAAAATATTACTCAGCGGCCTGCAATCTTTTTTTCATTTCAATAGCAATTAATAAGATATATAAAAATTATCGTATCTGTAAAAGATAAATTGACGAATAATAAACCAATTTTGATAAAGTACGCTGTTTTAATAAATCATAAAACATTCGGAAAAAATTGCACCATCAGTGAATTTCAAATTTTCTAGGCCCTCAGGCCACTGTATTGAATTTTTCAGATATATTACGGATATATTTGTAATGAAATGCAATTGCAATTGGTACATCACTGCTGACGGAAAGATTTTGCAAAACATTTGATGATTTATTTATTAAAATAATGGACGTTGTCAAAATTAATCTTTTAATTTTTCAAAATAAGGTTGTAAAATAACATCAAAGTTTGAAATTATAAAACTATATTCAGAATAAAGATATAATCATTATAATTTTAATGTGAGCGATGAATCTGGTGTGTTGCTACCAATTTAGCAATTTTCGGTTCTATCTTCGTCAAAATCTTAAATCACCACAATCGACTATAAGTAATCAGTTTATTTATTTTTATTAAAGTTACAGCGCTAAATCCACATTCCACAAATGATATATGTAAGATGACGAAAATGCAATCAGAAATTTTTCAATGACCGACTAAATTTGTGGGTAAGCCATCGAGATCTCATTTTGCAGCCAGAAAGCAAGCAATAATCATGTATCCGTCACAGAATCTGTTAACGCCTCATTCCCAACCCTGGTCTAATCATTATATTCTATTACATTCATACAGGATAGCGATAATAAACCCTCATCCCTTATTATATAATTTAAAACGATAAAATAATCCCTTTCATTTTCACGAAGCCTGTCCCAAAATCTGTCATCATATCAGTAATCCATTCTTCTGAGAATATTAATCACCTGTCCCTAACTATATCATCCTGCAATCAATATATTTCTAAGAAACTTGCATTACCTGTACCTAGTTTTAATTCTACGTATCATGCAATCACCGACCAATACCTGATTGGTTGATGAACGCAATAGCCACTGGTTGGTTCCAAAATTGTAATGGGGTGTCGTTAATTCCACAAAAAATATATAAAATTGTAAAATCTAAAATGAACATTCAAACCAATAACATCTAACATCTATAAGTCTTAATATTTCAAATACACAATAATTAAACATTTATTCATCATCTTTTATTAATATTATCTTTATTCGGTCCGATATAGCCATCATCTAAGTATATCTGGTCCTTCGACAAAGTGCAAGTGGTTTAATTGAGTTCGGCAGCATCTCGGTAGTTCACGAACTTCTATACACTTTTAATCTATCTTAGCTATATACTTTTTGATCCATTCGAACCAAATGGTCAATTTAGTAAACAGAATCTCTTACAGAATTTGGTAAAGTTACACGCGTTAAAAATTTACACAAATTGTCGACTCACAGAGGAAGTATGAACCATCGAAAAAATTCTGATAAAATATTAAAATATTTTAAATCAACTTTCTGTAATTATGGTACGCACCATTTCCTGCACATACACGTTTAAACATTTAACTTTTGACAATGATCATAACTTTTGTTTGGCGGCAGATACATTGCGCAATTGGACTATGCCAATTTTTTAAATTTGAAGTAGTAAATACTAAAAAAAATTAAAAAGTTTCAGTTTTAATAATAATTGCAAACATATAGAGTTATTGCAAATTACGTAATGTATTTTTATGATTGCAACATTGTTCGCGAAACGAGATAAACGGATAGAAGTCGAAGTCGCAATATTAAAATCGGTTTTACAAGCTTTTATGCAACAAACAGATCACTCGCGTTATTTATGAAGATGCTTCAGATCCTTTTAACCTACCACGTAGCCGATTTTTAATTATACGACGCGTTAACTGATTTATGAGTAATCTTTAACTGGCTTGCTAATTGTGTTATCACTAAGAATAATGATAGATTTTCAATTTTGATTTAAGTCAGCATTAAATTATGATTCAGGACCGACAGTGACAAAGTCGGCATCTAAAGAAATTAAAAATTTTTTTTTTACTAAAATGGGATTTGTAGTTTTGTTAACTAATGTATTATAAAATTGTTTATATCATATATGTTTCGATAATTTTGACCAAAATATATCTTTATATATTTCAGTGTCATTGTTAATCATTTATTCATATATATGATCAATAAATAATAAATAATAAATCAATAAATGATAAATAATAAATAAATACAACTAAGCATCGCCCCCTAAATGCTCCAAAGCCCATCACTGCTCCTCTGGATCGCCGCAGCGCCCACTTTGGGAACCACTGGTCTAGATCATACTAAAATAATAAAGCCCTACGACAAGTCGTTTAATTTTGAAAATTCGTCAAAGTTTGCAAAAATTAGTATCGTTCTTTTGGCATTTGTCAAAATTAGACCTTTTATCGACGATTGCTCAAAAACGCCTGAACCGATTTCAGAAATTTAAAAGCCATTTCATGTATCTCGATGAGGATTACCGCTTGTCAGTTTCGTGCGACGATCTGCCGAGCCGTTTCTTTGTAATTTGGAAAAAAATGTTAAACTTTTCGTCAACATTTAAACTCATACTACCGAATCGATTTTAAAAAATCAAAAACTGTTCGAAAAATATTATTTGGGAATGATACTGATTAGTTTTAGGTGAAAATCTACCGAGCTGTTTTCTTGTAATTAACTGTTGAAAAAAAAATTTAAGCCGATTTTTATGGAACTTTTTTGGCTATATATATCATGGTCTTATAGAACTTACTGAAATATTAATGCCTTACGAAAAGTAGTTTAATTTTAAAAATTCATCAAAGTTTAAGAAAATGAGTAGTTTTTTTGACGTTTGTTAAAATTGAAATTAGACTATTTACTTGGTATAATGATGAGTACTTGGTCTTAATGAACATACTAAACCATTGAAGTCCTACGGAAACTGGTTCAATTATAAAAAGTATTGATTTGTGAAAATTTGCTTTTAGAAAATACTCCGATTTAACGTGTTCGTTCGTTTTCAATTATGTGCAATTAATCCACTCGAAATACTTTTAATCACTCATAAACTAATTTTTTTTTTTGATTAAGTCGATTATTTGCACATATCGGGGAGTTCATGTAACTTGCCTCAAGGCAAAATACCGTGAATACTAGTTTATTTTAATTTCCAATAATTTTTTTTTTTTTGAGTATTGAAAATAACTCAGCTTTTAATGTCAATTTCAGCTAAAGTGCTAAAGCTCTCTTATATACTTCAAATGATTAATTTTAACTTTGCAATTCAATTTATATAAATCTTTAAAATGTGAGATAAAATCCTTCATTCTTACTCCGCGTTAGTAAGTTCTGTTTAGTTACTTTTCATGTAAACATATATCAAATGTCGTGAAATTTAAAATCTGTTATATTTGTCTATGGACTAGCGGTGGCTATATGGGTTAGAACGTGATCTAGAACCAGCTGGTCCCGGGTTTGCTGGTTCGATTCCCGCTACCGGAAAGCATGACATAAGGCAACTTTGGTGTCAAATTTCCGCTTGAGGTTATAGATCTCAAATATAGCCTCAAGTGAAAATCGCGTATATAATAAAAATGTCAGCAAATACTTCGAGTAGAGATGAATAGTTGTAACTGGACTGGACAACAGCTGGCTTACCGTCCATTCAAGATTCATATAATAAGAAAAGTCAAAACAATTACTGAATGTCCTATGTGTGATAGATTGTAATTAACCCCTTAACGCACAGTTTTTTTTAAAAAAACCCGGCCAAAAAAAAACATTTTTTTAATGTAAAAAACAAACATTAGAACATTGTTTTGGCAAAAAAATAAAAAAAAAAAAATAATCAAAATTTTTAGTTCAATTTTGGCCTTTGATCAATATTGCAGAAAAGAGTCGAATATTGTCGAATGTTGCACGTCTATCGATTTTTTTATTTTTTGTTTCGAATTACTGTTTCGTCAAAAACATCTTTATCAGTTAAAATATTTATTTAAACTTTCACAACAAAAATAATACTAATATTTATTTCCAGCATCAAATATGTACAGCACCGCTCGAATTATCTCGAGTGTGCAAAGTTTGGCCGGTTTAACGCGCTCGAATTAACTCGAGCGTGCAAGTTAAGGGGTTAAAATAAAAAAAAAAACAAAAAAAAATATTTTGTCTATAACACACTAATAATGAAAGCTACTGTATTTATAATTATCTATTTAAAAACATTTAATATTTGTCGTATATTCTAACACGGTACGGGAAGTTCCACCAATTTGCCATAAGGCACGATGCCATGCACAACTAGTTAAAATTTTTGTTCAACTGAAAGTTATTAATGATAATAATGTTAATAATATTTTTGATTGTATTGACAATAACTATTTTTAATAATGATAATAGATATTATAATGTTAATAATGCTACTAATAATGATTATAATAAAAACAATGATAATAAAAATAATGATAAAAATAATAAGATGATAATAATAATAAAAATAATAATAATAATAATAATAATGGTAATCATAGCAGTATTGATAATAATAATAATGATAATTGTGATAATAATGATGATAATGGTATAAATGATAGTATTGATATTAATTTTAATACTAATGGAAGTAATAATAATAATGACAACATTAATAGTAACGATAATGATGATAACCACGGTACTAAACTTACTTTTTTTTTCTTACTTTTATTGAATTACAACAAATCCATAATTCTTATTCTAACGTAGGCGGCATTGAATCATTTATGTAGGCGGCATTGAAGTGGCATCGCAGTCATGCGCGCGCATCTGTTACGTTCGAAGCAGATTTGATTCAAACTGGAATATATTTTACAATTAGTATTAGTTTCAATTCAGTTTCCAAACAAGACTCGTTCTGAGTTCGAGCGAACCGCTGCGTGTTCAAAGTTATTCAATCTGTTTCAGTGTTTGTGGACAAGTTTACACATCGACAAATAACGAACATGGCTCTCGGTAAGTAATTATTGCTCTAATAACTAACTGTGCTTGATGTTTTGTCGTTTTATAATTATTGCTATAATAATTAACTGTGTTTGATCTTTTGTCGTTTCATAATTTTCTTTGAAAGTGTCGTTCGGCGTTTTATTGAGTTATGTATATATGCTATTTATAAAATGTTGATGTTTTGTATTAGTGTTCGTAAGGCGTGGCAACGATTGAGGGATACATGCCGATAGTTACGCAATTTTTTTTTCGATTTTATTTTCAACTTAATACGTATTTCTGATCTATTTTTTTAAGTGAAACCATATATCACTACTGCATGACGCCAAGTTGTTTTAAACGCTTATATGGTCTTTGCGAAGCTACACACGCGCGCACACACACACACACACACACACATATATATATATATATATATATATATATATATATATCAAGAAATAAAATCTAAATTATTTTAAATTAAAATGCTAATGTCACATTTGTTCTATGCTAGTTTAAATAACACAGTTCTTATGAGTCATCGCTATATTCGTCATGTATTTGTCATGAACTTTTTTGTCAGGAGTGATCTAAACAAATTGCGTAATCCGATGACGGCTGCGGTGTTAGAAAACCGTTGAATATTCCGTTTTATTGCTTTCTTTTGAAAGGATTAAATAAAGGAATTGCTTTCTTGTTTGAGCATAGTGTAAAAATTAAATACTTAATACATTAAAATAAGTGCTTTGAACATATTGTTTGCGCATGCTGATTGTTGAAAAACCTAATTGATCATAATTATTGCTAATTCATAACACGCGAAGAATCTCATATGTAGAACATTATACGTAACTTTCAAAACGCCGAAATTTATGTAAATTTAACGCAAATTCTAAGAGACGTTTTTCAGATCCTATTTATCTTTTATAATTATTAGTGATTTGCACGGTCCGAATACCTTGTGATATAGTATTTAACTAATTAAATTTATTGATATATAATAATATGCAAAAACTGTTGGAAAGGAAAACCTTTAAAATAATGTAATTATGGAAACCGTGCTATGAAAAACTCAGAATTAGTATACATTTTAACTTTTTTTCGTGTTATGTGAAGACCAGGAATACAATTAGGAGTAAGAAAAATACGAACGAAATGACATGAAATGAATTTTCTTAATTCTTGAAGGAATGAGGAAAGAGATATAGGTTCTGAGCCCGTAATAAGATTATTGAAATTTGTAAAAGAATTCTTTGTTATGTTTGCGTATGATAAGTCTGGGTTTCTTGTTTTGATTGTTGTAAGAAATGTATGGGGTTTGTCTTGTTTGTTTATGTTATGAAGTGTTGTTTTGAATCTCGTATATTCGGTTGATTTACTATTGATGAAATTATTTCTTGGGTCATTTATTGCTTTGTAGTAGTCGCAACCGCGATAATTAGCGGTGTGGATCCTCCGCAGAGACAGCAGCACGCTGGGGTATTGGGATCTTTGGTGCAAATTTTTGTATTGTGGTCATCTCCGCACTTTAACCCTCCGTCGGCCAAATATTTATTTACCTTCGAACGGTCGGAGTGGTCTAGCTGGACCGCCATTCATTTTACATGCATTTATTTTTTCTTTTTCTTACCGTCTTTTGCATGTGTTGAGCTTGCCTCTAATAAAAATATTTCAAATCATAAAATATAAAAAAAAATCGTTGCTTGTTTTAAATTGTTCTGTTTTATATCAATGAAAAACAATATTTATTCTTTTTCGGCGCTTTTGAAATGAACGTGAAATTGAAATGAAAACGAAATGAAGTGCGTCGCCTTTTTCATGAGCTATAAAACTCAAAGTTAAAATATAATTTCAATTGATTTGCATACTTACGGCTACAGGTTTGCCACAAAATGGTTCGAACGCAGTACGGGTAGAAAAATTGTTGATAATGTGCGCATTATTTATCCGATTTTCAATGTTTGCGATAACCAATAAGTTTGATAGGTTTTCAAGGCATTTTTATAGGTGTGCGTGTAAAATTCATATTACAACACATAGCAAAGAATATATAAAAAGCAGTTTGAATAGAAAATATCTGAAAAAAAGACAAAAGACTGATCAAAACGCGTCATATTTCATGCAAAATATATGAGTGACCACTCCGACCGTTCGAAGTATAAAAAAGTTAATTTTTTCATTGATCGACAACTAATGAAATTTTAAGAAGTCAAGAAATTTCAAGTCGATAGGATTACTAGGATTATTTTATTACTTCGACCGACGGAGGGTTGAACAGGCATGTGGTCTGTTGTAATATCTTTGAGTATGATTATATAATAGCGCATGCACTGTATGATATTTTTTTTCGGAAGCTCAATTCGGATTATGTTGTTTGATACTTTATAAATGTCATAGATGTTTTGTTGTTGTTTACTGGCTCGAAGTTTACGAAGAACATATTCAAAGGTTGTTTTGATATTCTATGCCTGATGTTTATTACAGTCCTAACTGTGTGAACTTGATTTGCTAATTCCGATTTGATAGTTTCGATGTCTGTGGTAAAGTGTAGGATTATTATTACAATTCTATAGGCTTTGCCTTCTTTTAATTGATACGTATAGAAGACAACGTTTGCAATTTTTAAATAATTAGATAAGTTTCGAAATTGATCAATTGTGTCGCAAAAAATTTGAAGTTATTATTTGCCAAACTTTTTAGAAAATATCTTTCGCGTGGAATGATCTTGTTGATTGCTTCTGTCATGTCGTTTATTTTATCGACGCCATAGACGAAAATCAGTGGAGGTTTACTTCACTTTAAGCCGTCAATCGGTTTTGAGTTATGGTATTTGAATTTAATGGTTTCGGTGTTATTTGACGTCTTTTGTTGCTGCCAACAAACGCCACTTGTGTTCGTTTCTGCTGCATTGTTTTGATGAATATAATTAACGCTAGATGTACTTGCAGTTTGTAATGCGGTGGTGCTCAGAATTGGGCTACTTGGAGTATTAAGTGTTACATTTTCTTTAGACGTATCCATGTTATTAACCCTCCGTCGGTCGGATATTTTTTCACCTTCGAACGGTCGGAAAGGTCTGGCTGAACCACCATTCATTTTACATGCGTTATATGGGATAAATGAGTTTTTGATGTCTTATGCATTAACGATTATATAAAAAAATCAAGAAATATAAAAAAAATCGTTGCTTTTTTGTTAATTTTTCTTTTTTAAATCAATGAAACAATATTTATTTTTTTTCGGCGCCTTTGAAATGAATGTGTGCATTACTCATCCGATTTTCAGTGTTTGCGATTACCAATAAGTTTGGTTGGTTTTCAAGGAACTCTCGTCATGAAAATACTAACATTCTTGTTAGAACACATAGCAAAGAATATAAACAACGCAGTTTGAATAGAAAATACTAGGAAAAAAGACAAAATACTGGTTTACATAAATCAAAAAGCGTATATTTCATACAAAACGACAGACCTTTTCGACCGTTCGAAGTATAAAAAAGTTAATATCCTTATAATTATCCTTCTGTACATTTTTTCGTCCTGATTTTCTCATTGATCGACAGCTAATGAAATTTTAGGAAAAGTCAAGAAATTTCAAGTCGATAGAATTACTAGAAGTATTTTTTTTTAATTGAAGTCGAAAAAAGTCTGGCCAGACCACGCCGACCGACGGAGGGTTAAGAACATCAAATGATTGCACTATTAGACCGTTGGTCTCTCGGTTCCCACCGACAGGGGACATTTCACTGAAACTTATACCTGATGGAAGGTTTTATTTACACTTTCACACAAAATTATTTCAGATGAAAATTGATATAATTAACTTCCCGTAAGGTGAGTTATAGTAATCGCAAAAAAATCAAAAATGAAAATTTTTATATATCTTTACGTTTCAAAGGTTTCTGAATATTTTGGCATACCTTAGAAAAAATGGATATGTATGTGTGTGTGTGCGGATAAACATTGGTACGAAACCTATAGGAATGTAAACAAAATTCGATAATTTGATGTGCATATGTCTAATGTTCATTTTTGACCGCCAAATGGCTCATTTTTTTTACTTTTTCCTCCATATCTCCGAAGTCGTTGTACCTACCTTTCCAATAATCATTTTGTGCGACGCACCTCATTTTGTTTTCATTTGAATTTCACATTCATTTCAAAGGCGCCGAAAAAGAATAAATATTATTTTTCATTGATTTAAAACAGAAAAATTAACAAAAAAAGTAACGATTTTTTTTATATTTCTTGATTTTTTTATATAATCGTTAATATATAAGACACCAAAAACTCATTTATCCCATATAAATGCATGTAAAATGAATGGTGGTCCAGTCAGACCTTTCCGACCGTTCGAAGGTGAAAAAAATATCCGACCGACGGAGGGTTAATAGAAAATTTATCTAATTTCTTAGCAAATATGTCGATTCAAAATATTCCCAAATTTGATAATGCATTAAAGGTTAAAGAAATAAAGAATAGGTACTACGATAATGCATACAAAATGAAATTATTAGAAGCGCAGTTCTTTCAAAACTTTATGATAGAGCAAAAATGGTAATTGGAATTGCCAACGCGAGAGAAATTGATAACATTATTGGTGTATTAATTTCTAAATTTTCGGACCGAATATACGATATATCTTTAATTTTCGACCTCCACAGCTTGCGACAAAATCCAATTGAAATGGTTTATCAATTCTATACTCAATATTTGTGCAAAAATTTTCAAAAAAGTACTCTAGTAGTTTTCATCGCGCACGTAAAACAACTATTGTTTGCTTCTAAGAGTAGAGGAGTTTCATCATTAGATGAGGGCCATAGATATAACTGAAAAAGATGACAATATTATAAGAAACGATACAGATAACTTTATGCAGAATAATAAAAAAAAAATCAGTTCTTCAGAAAAATAAAAACAACTTTGTATTTCCAAGAAATTTAAATTCAATAAATTCAAATTATGAGATAGCATCATTTCCAACCTAATTTTAACAATCCACAAATATCCCAACCCGTACTTCCAATC